GATGGAAACTTGTTTTCTGGGCAAATCGGGTGCGTAGATTTCAAATTCGATGTCGATACATCGCTAGAATTTACGGCTAGCCCGGAAAAATAGTTTCTAGTCAAGTTTTCACCCTAAATTCCATCTGATAACACTTAAGAAAGTTTTCACCATGATATTCATATTCAGCGTCCCAAATTACCTCATTGTGCAAAGCTCCGCTCTCATGTAGCCATAGATAGTAAAAATGGATTTTTAGCACCTTAAAGTCGCAAAAAACACCTAGTTTTGCAATTTTTCGCTAAGTAATTAGATCTACATCATAAACGGAATCACATACATATAAAACGACCTCGGATTCGATATGGACAGCCCAAAATACGTGGAATAAGGGTCATTTGAACCGCATTTAAAGCATTTTAACATATAATGACCATGTACAGCTAAGACAAGTCCAAAACTGGATTAGGCGGAATAGGGAAGGTGGCAGTTTGGAAACCGACAGGTCAAATGTCCACAGACGCAACGTCTTATCAAATGAAGACGTGAGCAGGCTGATTGCGTTCAATGACGAAAATAGGTTTTGTAGTGCGCTCGCAATGCGAGATAGACTGGGGCTACAGTGTCATAGAACGACAGTGGGTAGATATCTGCACAAGGAAGGTATCCACAGAAGGATACCGGCAGTGAAGCCATTGCTCACTGAGGATCATAGAAGGAGAAGACTACAGTTCTGCCAGGAGAACCTGAATAGGGACTGGAGCACCGTAGTCTTCTCCGATGAAAAAATTTTTTGTACTAATACGGATTACCGACCGCCGCTATGGCGTCGGAACAACACTAGATACGACCCAGCAAACATAATCCCCAACAGAACCACGGGTCGGACGACAATGGGATACTGGGGGTGGATGACGGCGGATGGACCAGGGGATTTAGTTAGTATAACTGGTAAGAGATAATTAAGTTACAACTATACTTTTCTAAAGTTAGCAAGAGCTGCTAGTGGAACCACTTGATCGACTTCGTCGTAGCGCTGCGTGCTCATTATTTTACGAGTATATCTATTTTACTCCTTGCACAATTGATTGTTTCCGGCATTGCACCACCCATAAGAGTTATATTAAAATACAAAACCATTTGGAATTACCGAATGCGTTGCATCAAAATTCAAAATAGCAGCTCTTGCTTTTGAGTATTTTTTTACGACTAAGTTGTGTCACTGCAGTAGGCTTTTAAGTAACAGTATAAAATTGCTAACATCTAAATAATGATCACAATAGATGGTTTTGTTGATATCGGATAATTTCTTGGAAAAGCTAATTTTTATGAAAGATTACTGGTATTATACCATATCCCTCCTAGGACTTGGTAGGGGACAGAAAATGCAATAAGATTCGATAATTACCTGACCAGACTAAACCACATATATTATGTTTTAAATTACTTGTTCTAATCTATATATTTTAAAAAATATCCAAAAAAGCCACCGTGGTGTCCGAAACGTCAGTGAAAAAGTAATTCAAACATATGTGGTTTCGTTTGCCCAGACCCAAACCACAAAATGAGTTTTGGGTATTACAGTAAAATACAATAAATAGACTCTATATAACATATGCATTGCACGAAAATCCCCAGTTTTGGAGATCTACTTTTGTGATTTCTTTAGCATCACCCGAAACTGTAAAAACATATATGAAAAATTCTTGAGGTTTTGTTCTCAGTTTCCCCTCAAAGTAAAATTGTTCATTTCATGTTCACACACATACACATACACACACACCTACACACACACACAGACACACACGCACTTGGTGTCCGAAATATATTGCATTTTAGCTCCCTTTTCTTGTCCCTGTGTATACCTCGGTCCCTCATAAGATGATCTTGTTATTTACAGACAGAATGAACTCGCAACAATATGTGGACATGTTAAATAATAGTTTTATCCCATCATCCGGATTTTCTATCCACAAAGTAGAATCACTTTTGTACAAGATAATTCCGCCGTTCATACGTCACACATGGTGCGAAATTATCTTGCACAAGAGGATTACAATGTCATTGCCTGGCCAGCAAAATCTCCAGACCTTAACCCAATAGAAAACCTGTGGGGTATAATGGTCCAAAAGTGGAGCACTGGCGGACCGCTCCCCAATAGGCGGGATAATCTCGACACCCATTGTAGGCGGCTATGGGAATCCTTCCGGGGAACGGATGTCTGCAAAAACTTGGTGGACAGCATGCGCACTAGGATGCAATCCTGTATAGACGCAGAAGGTCATCCTATCGCATATTGGTAAGATATTTTATATAGCGTATTGTGTTTATTATATATCATGCATTAAAATCGGCTCCGTACAATGATTGCTCGAAGTATCGCATAAACATGGCGGAAAATACAAAAATGATTTTGTCAATCATTTGATACCCCTTCTCTCTTCTACTACCCTAAAACACATTTTGTTCATTTTCGTGTTGTGCTTTTTGTCACTGGAAGCAGCACACTGCAGCTAAACTGTTTTCACAAATCTTCTTTGAAAACTTACTTAGTCAGGCTTCGCCTTGAAATGATATTCCCAATTTGGGGGATGGGACGGAGATTTTTTTCAGTGTATAGTATAGAAACATTGTATGTATAAAGGAAATCTATTTTGAATAACAATATGTATTTTTTTCAGAATGCTACGTGGCCCGTATTAGATTTTTGTAAGAATGCTTTTGTTTATTTGTTACTTTTGTTTATGGATTTATAGAGAAACTGTTTTTTTTTTTTGAGAATTCTAGATTGATTTATTACTTGTTTTTATTTTAGAAGATATTATTTTTATTTTAATTGCATGGAATTAACTGTTTTATTTTATTATTTTATACTATATTATATATACTCCATAATCATTTGAATTTTTATTGAACCACTCACTACCTTATTATAACAATGAGCTGATGGATTATAATTTATTGTTTGCGCAACCTAGGCTTGAGTGCCAAATATTTGACCTACCATAGAAAAATTCATCTCTCAATCTCTCTCTGTTTGGGGACCAGTTATTAAACAGACAGGCCGTCGGCAATGAGTAATCAGGAGAGCAGAAACACTTCGTTCCGCGACCTGTCCTTATGTAGAGCGTCCCCCTTTTTTCCTGTATAATTTATTGCCGGTTTATTTCTTTGATCTCCTTTACGGCTGTCTGAGCAAAAGCTAAACATACACGGTAATGATTACAGAAAGGAAATGCCATAAACAGGTTACAATAACAATAAGAGTTTTAAGCCTAGCAACTAGAATTCTTAGAGAGATTTTACAAGGAGTGTGCATATTCTGTATGTTCAAGTGTTGTGTTCTGAAGATTTAAAAATAGGAAAATTGATATATCATTATCTTAAAAATCGCCGCAAATCCTTCCACTCTCAAATCTGCCGTTGGTAATAAAGGAATCATCAACTTGAGCATTTTATAGACCAATTGCGTATGAATGAAAGGCGAAAGGTAAGAAATCAAAGGCCCTGGCTGGAATGAAGCTTCCAAACGCTGGGAGATTTTAGGTACGAATTCGCGTCGTGTGGGTAGAGACAGTTGATTATGATTTGTTCATCAAAATATTCATACAGATCATGTTGTGGCGGAATCATGAATCTGAATATGCATACTAGTTAACCAGGCTGCTGAGCATATTAGCGCTGGCTATTTATCCTTCTTGCAACTAATTTCATTAGCTCTGAAAAGTATTTCACCAGTAGGTATTCAGTTTAACCACTTTCCGTGTCTATACAAAACTGCCTTCTGGTCTACATGCTTCTTACTTTGTACAGATACTGGTAGGTTAAGCCACTTTAAGCAGAAATCCAAGTATATAGACTTTTTGCTTTTCCAGAAATCCTCCCAATGCTAATAAAAACAATTATGATCAATTATGATTCATTAAATTTACTCATATGTGATTTCCTAGTTTAGTCCGAATTTTAAAGGTGCCCATAAAAGTGATTTGTAGGAGCCACAGTTGTGGTTGATTTCGCGATAGTAATCGTTTCCTGTAGATTGAGATACTGCCCAACCAGTGGTGTTATCCAGAAATAGATCTGGGAGGAGGCTCAGGATCCAGGGTCGTGGAGATAGAAAACTGCATAGCAGGGGGGAACTCGCTTAGTCCAGGTAGCACACTTCACAGAAGGTTTAACATGCTGTAATATGTAGAAGAAGCCTAATGAGCTGTTACGCTTCGGCAAGGGAAACTCCGAGGAGCCTGAAATCCCTCCCTTGAATACGCCGGTGTGCCCATACCAGAATAGTAACAGAGGCGTGTGGGGTCTGTGGGCCTAGCTCAAAGAGTTCCGCCGTTCTTTCTAATATCATTGGGTTTCCATCCAACCAGCGACGGCGACGAAGTAAATAAGAAATGAATAAGTCCTTCTTGATTAAATTTACAACTTGATGCGTTAATTAAAGAAATTATCCTGTTTTTAGTCATAAAATGCTACCAGACATTTGAGAAAAAAAAATAATATTTTAAGTTTCAATAGGCATTAAGAGTAATCCATGTAATTTTTTCTTATGAATGTGGAAGTGGAACAACCAGCGGATACGCTAATGCAGTCGGCGGCGCGGCACCTTGTAACGGTTTCACCGTCCGATCGTATTTCTTAAATCACTTCTCGATTATCATTTCATTAATCCCATCTCTAGCTTTTTTGCTTGGAAAATTTTCCGCTTGGAGCGCTTGATGCGGAGTTCCTGATCTGCGATCTTCCTCGCGCTTTTTTTTCACTTGAGCCGCCGATCGAACAACAGCTAGAAATTTCTTCTCAGTAGCACAAGGTTATATAGCACCATGTGCTAGAATTTTCTAGAATGTGTGTCCGTATAGGACAAAAATGATTGGGGCCACCCCCTTTCTCTTTCCCTTTCACTTTGCCTAGCCTTGGCCAATATTTTCACCCATGCATGTACCTTGGCAGCGCCATCGCCTTTAACTTCGCCTACAACTGGTTGTGAAGCCACTATTGTTGTCTAGGATGGTGAGCCGCTAGTCGATCAATACTACTTGCAGTAATAAATATATATTCCAACAATCTTAAGTAACAAACAAATATAACGTCTTATTGCGCTGCGTTGAATCGGTTGAGAGCATTGGCGTCTTGGCGTCGTGTCATCTTCCCCCAGCCACCGTCGATCTGCCGGTCAGCAGCGACAGACATAGAGTTGGACTGCACGGCCATCCTGACGTCACGTTCGTCCCGAACGTCTGAAAATATTAAGTTATTTAGGAAACACCTATACCTATTGCCATCAACACCATTTGCTATCGAGGACGACCATTCGTCATCGAGAGCAAAACTTGCCATTGAGGGCGTAACAGTTGCCATCGAGAGCAGAACAGATGCCATTGAGGGCGTAACATTTGCCATTGAGAGCAGAACAATGCCATTGAGGGCGTAACATTTGTCATTGAGAGCAGAACAGATGCCATTGAGGGCGTAACATTTGCCATTGAGAGCAGAACAGATGCCATTGAGGGCGTAACATTTGCCATTGAGAGCAGAACAGATGCCATTGAGGGCGTAACATTTGCCATTGAGAGCAGAACAGATGTCATTGAGGGCGTAACATTTGCCATTGAGAGCAGAACAGATGCCATTGAGGGCGTAACATTTGCCATTGAGAGCAGAACAGATGCCATTGAGGGCGTAACATTTGAGTAGTTCATTACTCACCTTATTGATTTTGAACTTTGAAGGGTTTCATGTGTTCCACACCTACCACAGCTTGATATGGTCGCCTTGACCTCTGTGTGAAACGATCTTCTTGCACTCTATACCTGTCATTGGGTAGAACCTCAACTATCTTGAATGGTCCTCTAAACTTAGGACGTAACTTTTTACTGTCTTCATTCGCTGAAAAGCTGGTTACTTTAGTTAATACCACATCTCCCACCTGGTACAACCTAGGTAGAGAACGTTTAGTGTTAAATTTTAAATCTTGTTCGATTCTATTGTGTTCCAGACGTTTGGCTGTCTCTTTTCGGATTTTTGTAACATCTAGAGTTGTTTCTATATCGTCATCAGGGTATTTGTCACTATCAGTCCGTAGTTGGAAACCAAACATTACTTCTGCGGGCGTGTTTTGTGTAATACGGTGTCTAGTACTATTCAGTCCTTGTTGTATATGTGAAAGATTAGTATCCCAATTGTCTTCACTTGTTTGCGAACCAGATGTTGCTAAAGCGTCTAGAACTGTTCTGTTCGTCCGCTCACATTGACCATTGCCTCTTGGGAGACCAACAGCTGTTGTAAATAACCGTATCCCTCTTGCAGCAACAAATTCCTCGAAGGCCTTTGAAGTAAACGCAGATCCAAGATCCGTGATGAGTCGTCTTGGGTTACCGAGCATCGCGAACATTTCAGTTAACATTTGAATTACGTATTTTGCAGATGTATCAGGAACTGCTTTTAAATACACAAATTTCGAAAAGCCATCAACAACAACTATTAAATACTTGTTTCCCTGTTTTGTATTCACAAAAGGTCCTAAATGATCTATATGTAGTGTGTGGTGTGGTCTAGCATACTTTGGGATGGAGTGAAGGTACCCGGGTCTTTTGCCCCCTTTATCTTTATGATATAAACAAGGTAAACATGCATTTATGTATTTTGTTATGAAATGCCTCATTCTGGGAAACCAATACCGTTGCTTAATTTTCTCTAACGTTTTATCAACCGCAAAATGACCTATATCGTCATGGTTTGCTTTGACGATTTGCCATCTACACTTCTTTGGGACTACCCATCTTCTCCCATAAGGTGTTAACTTATAGACTTTGTTCCCCCTTAAATCGTAATTATTAAAAACATCTTTGTGACTCTGAGCATCCCCACTTAAAAGAATATTTTTAATTTCCACTATGGATTCATCTTGATCCTGTGCTTCCCTGAGATAGTCATCTTCTTGGATGAGTAGGACTTGTGCTTTGTTTTGAGATTCATTAAAGTTTCGGCTAAGTGCGTCTACATGTTGCATCTGAGTACCTGCTTTATGGTGAATGGTAAAAGAAAACTCTTGTAAAGACAAGACCCATCTAGCAATTCTTGGAATTATCGACTGCTTAGATAATGCGTTCTTTACCGCATTGCAATCAGTAAAAATTTGGAACTGATAGCCTACTAAATAAAATCTGAACCGTTCCAAAGTTTTGACTATTGCTAATAGTTCCAACTCAAAAGAATGATAATTTTTCTCAGCGGTATTAGTTTGCCTACTGAAATACGCTATTGGTCTCTCTTTACCATCTGTACTTTGCATCAAAATTCCTGCAAAACCATCACGACTAGCATCCGTATATACGGTTGTCAGTGCTTTTGGATTAAATATTGCCAAAATAGGTTCTGCACAAATTTTGGCTTTTAAATCTTTGACTATTTGTGTGTGAACTTCTGTCCAAGACCACCGACTTCCTTTCTTTAATAGCTTCGTCAATGGGGCGGTAATTCGCGCAAAATCTTTTAAGAACTTCCGAAAATAGCCGACGAGACCCAAGAACTGTCTCAGTTGATGTTGTGTCTTAGGACAAGGAAATTGTTCCACCGCTTCAATTTTCAGGTTGGATGGTGATATTTGATTGTATGAGATTTGATATCCTAGATAAACTATCTTCTCTGTAAGAAAAGAACACTTTTCGATTTTTATTACAATACCATACTCCTGTACAATTTTCAGTACCTTAGGCAATAAATCGAACCCCTCCTCTATAGTCTTTGACGGTATTAAGATGTCGTCCAAATAAGGAACCACATTAAATTTTCTTAAAGGCATAAGGATTTCATTCATAAATTTCTGAAATACCAATGGGGCATTACAAAGCCCAAACGGCATACGAACGTACTCAAAATGCCCTTCAGGTGTTATGAACGCTGTATACTTCATTGAAGCAGGCTCCATCGGTATTTGATGGTAACCTGATGCTAGGTCAAGCGAGGTAAAATACTTGTAATCACTCAAATTATCAATAATTTCTTCGATTAATGGCATTGGAAAATTATTTTTAACAGTTATTTTGTTTAGCGCCCTGTAATCGACAACTAGTCGTTTGTCATTAGTTCCTTTATTGACCAGAAGAGCAGGACTGGCATATGGTGAATTACTTTCACGTATGATTTTAGCCTCCAAAAGTTCCTGTACTATTGCCAATTTTATTAGAGAACAATCACTACCAAAATCCACAAAAGCTTCTATTAAATTCCAATCAAGAAATATTTTTTTGAAAAATTTTGAAGCACTATTCTGACTTTTAATTAATTTGACCTGTTCAATTTTTTGTTTTACTTTTGAAGACTTAGTTGAATTATCCCATCTGCCTGGTTCACTTGAGTTCTTTCGTTTCTTGAAACAATTCACCTCAATATGCCCCTTAATTCTGCAAAAATTGCATATCTTATTTCTATGTTTACAATCATTCCGCTCGTGACCTCTGTTGCCACATGTGGTGCAATTTACATTTTGATGTATCGTACTTGACCGGACTATATTGTCAGATGCTCCCAATCGACCACTTTGATTGATTGACTGTTGCACCTCTGATTTTAACGGTTTGCCCCTACCAGTATAAGTTTTGTTCTTCAGATATGCCGCCAAAATATGAGGATTTCGAATATTTGCTGCCTCCACAGCTGATGTCATATTAACGTCATTTATAGCACCTATAATTAATGATACCTTGTCACAATCTGAAAATCCTGCTCGTAACTTATTTATTCTCGCTATGTGTTCAAAACAAAAATCATATAACGAACAACCTTCGCTGGGTCTATGATTTACCATTTCCATCAACAGTTGATAAGCATTACGTGTACTCTGGAATGTATTTTTCAATATATCCTCCCACTGGCCCCAAGCATAACTAGACCACCCCAAGTCACCCTGAATGAAACTGTCATACCAGGTTTTGGCTGTACCCTTGAGTTTATTCAAAGCATGACACTTAATAAGGCTATCAGGCCACTTGTAAATATCTGCATTATATTTGATAACCTCTAACCACTCTGATATGTCATTAATTTTCGGATCAAATTCTGGAATTACCATCGAAATATGTATTCCCTGATCGGCCCTCGTAAAAGTAGAATAATGTTCGCTACTCACGGTTTCCCTTGACTTACACCTGGATCTCTTATGTTTATGCCCATTACTATTGCTAGAACTGCCGGAAGAACTACTGGTTGTTGAAGACGAGGAAGGTTCTCTTCTACTTCGTTTTCTGGATTTCCTTTGCTTTTGCTTTGGCATCTTGTCCAATCTCTGAGCAAACAACAGCCTGCAGAATATTTGCTAAAATTGGGAACCACCGTAAAACACACACTTCTGATGTTGTCTAGGATGGTGAGCCGCTAGTCGATCAATACTACTTGCAGTAATAAATATATATTCCAACAATCTTAAGTAACAAACAAATATAACGTCTTATTGCGCTGCGTTGAATCGGTTGAGAGCATTGGCGTCTTGGCGTCGTGTCATCTTCCCCCAGCCACCGTCGATCTGCCGGTCAGCAGCGACAGACATAGAGTTGGACTGCACTATATGGAGGTCACCCCTCATAACTGGGACCTCCCCTTCAAGCCCCTGGCCATCCTGGCTTCAGTCGAGTAAAAATGGACCAGCGAAAGATAAGTCGATAGCGTTATAGCAGCGCCAAAGATGTAAAACTTATTTTGTTATTTTTGTAAAATTGTAATGTAATGAAAATGCCTTTTTTTTTTTGTTAAATAAAATCTGTTAAATTTTTGTGTTCTGTTTGTTCTCTATCCTCTAGCCATGCCATGGTCGACACACAGCTACACGCCTGTAGATGTCTTCATGCCACCGACTGAGCTACCGGAAGCTAATGTTAACCCCCTTTCTGTGATTGTGCAGAAAAGTTGGAATCTTCATTGCATTCCATCTTTTCTGGACTTTTTGCGGAAAGGAAAAGTTACATAAATTGGCACCCGCAACGTGAGGCTTCGATAGGTGTTTGGCTTTGTCGACAAGTGGTTTGCTAGTGGAAGATTGGCAGACAGAACATAGTTTTCAAAATTCTTTACAATCTTTGGCAGCATTTCTATTTTTAATTGCTTTTGGTACTCAAATTTCTAATTCCTTAATCATCCTTACTTTTTGCTTAATGTTTAAAATTTTTATCAAAAGATTAAAATTTTCCCACCTGTTTATTTCATAGGCATACTATTAACTTTTAAATTGTCTTGTTTAGTAGTCAGCGAGATCATTGCCAGAATTTTTTTGTCTCACATACTACTACAGTTCTTATTTACTGCTGGGGACAGTTATAACTTTTTTCTCATTGTACTTTTGAGATTGATGATATTTTGATTTTTTTTTGTTGTTGAATATTGATAGTCTGGGGACTTTAGGTTTCCCAGCATTTTTGTCGAATATCATCAAACTTTTGATTGAGGTTGTGACTATTGTTGTTGATAGTTTACATATTCTTATATGCTTTTCATTTTTGATCACTAACCTCTTAGTTTTTGAAAGTATTTCTTCATGTGCAGTTTTTTTGATTTCTTGAGACTTTTCATGTACGCATATATATAGCCTAATTGTTGGATCTCTGGTGTACTGATATAGCTCTCATGATGTTTGGTACGTAGGAAATTTACTTTCAAAATTATTTTTGCCTTCCCCAAATGTATTTACTTTTTGAATGTTTGACTGTACTTGAACTTTTGATCATTTGTTTTCATTCTGATGGCAATAATCTACTGACTCGAGTTATCTGGAGTAAATCATTTTGCGATTCATCAATTTTTCTGAATTATATGAAATTGATATTCATAATTTTTCGTATATTTTGGCGGTTTACTTTTTTCAAGTATTGACACTTGGACATAGTACTTTGATACTTACCTTTCTTTTTTTTTCAAGAAACAAATGATGTTTTTCTTGACTATATTTTTGCTACTTTTCAATGAGGGGGTGACTCCTAAATCATTTTTACCTATACAAAGACACACATACTCATTTATGATAATTAAATTTCAACTTGTTGAAATAGTATACGTTCCTCAGTAACTATTGTAGTAATTTTGTCTCTTCTTTGGAGCATAAGTTTTCATAATTTTAATATTTTATAGTTTTATCTGGCATATTCTTTGGGGGAAATTAGAACATTAGTGTCTGATTTTCCATTGGATTAACAGGACTTGAAGGTCTCTGTACTTTTTTAATGTGTGTCAGATATAAAATAATTTTTTTAAGATTCGGCTGCTCCTGTTTTTGTATTGAAACTTTTTGTTTGTATTGTTAGTTTTTTATAGTGTTTTAGATCCTTGTCATTTCTTGACGTATTCAGGTTTTTAACTTTAATTTTTTTCTTTCAAGTGTTTCTTCGAGGTTTATTTCTCAATCATGGTTCAGTCTAGACTAAGCCCAAATGACTTATTAAGTCATGAACTCCACTACGAGATTCATATCAGAGGTTTGGAAGTCCCTAATACCGTGGAGGATAAACGTAAAGTTTTACGTGGCTTATTAGCACAGGAATTTCAAGGGCGTAGTTTCTCAGAAACTTCTGTGACTATTCCTTTTGATGAGGATGAGACTGAGATAAGACTCTCATTCAATAAACTCACTGAGATGATCAGTAGATTTACTGGTGCATTTGATTCTGTTGAACATCGCAGAATTTGTGTGCGCTTATTGCATCTATCTGGTAGGATAGATCGAATGTCTCCTACTTGTGATGAGGAGATAAGTACAAAATCTAGATTAAAGACACAACTTGTTGTGTGTGAATCGGATCTTTTAGAGAAGCTTGAGATGCCATCTGCTCAATCATCTCCTCCATCAGTTTCATCTCGTCCTATTCCATTAGCATCAAATCCGCCTGTGACTGTTGCTAATCCTAAAGTATTTCCTCCAGTACATACACAGCCACTCTCTCCTATAAATTTTGCTCCACATAAAAAGATACCAGTTTTCAAATGGGGAATCAAAAAATTTTCTGGAAATAGCTCAGTTATTGAATTTCTAGAAATTGTCGAATCTCTAATGTCTTCCCGTGGTTGCAATGAGATGGATCTCTTTGCATCTGCAGGTGATCTCTTTGAAGATGTAGCCTGGACATGGTGGCATAATGGCCATCTAAGAAATAGCTTTCATGATTGGCAGGACTTGATTAAACAACTCAAGGATGCTTTCCTACGTGACAATTATGATATGAACCTAATTGATGAGATTCGTAGACGCAAACAAGGTCGGCATGAACATGTTACGATATTCATTTCGTTCATGGAATCTCAATTCAATAGATTAACCTACAATACATTTACAGAAAGGGACATGGTCAATATTGTCCGTAGAAATTTATTGCCTGACTTCATAAAGTCACTTGCTCTTCATGAAATTTCCACTTTTCCTGAACTAACATCACTTTGTAGGAAATTAGAGGATTCCTTCTTGACTTGTCAACCCCACAATAGACTTTCCACTTCCAGCTTGGTTACTTCTGATAGTACTCCATCATCTCACAGAAAAGCTCCTGTATGTTGGAACTGCGAGAAACTAGGACATTCTGTTCGAGACTGTAGAGCTCCTAAGGCTGTTTATTGCTATACCTGTGGTATGAAAAATGTCACACGCTCTAATTGTCCTTCCTGTTCAAAAAAACGTGAGGCAAGAAGTTTCCAATCCGACTCCCGGAACTTCTTTCGCCCAGACTCGAGGAGTCATAGACGTAAAGGGCAAAGCAACTCCAGGTCTCATTCTGAAGTCCAACAAATAGCCAAGTTAAGACAACCTTCAGCAATTAATCCCGATTTTGACATTAATCATTCACAACTTGCAGGTATGCCATCAAATGATCATTCAGAACCATTTATTCAAAAACCAAATGACAATCGTCCACATCTTTCAATATCCATTGGTGATGAAAACATTTTAGCTTTGCTTGATACTGGAAGCAATGCCAACATTCTAGGTTCATCTGGCTTATACTTATTACGTAAATTAAATCTCAACATCGATTACAGTAGTACCCTGCATATAACAACTGCTGATGGCCAGATGCAGAATACTTTAGGTTTTGCTTTGCTGCCAGTAGGTTTTAATGGCAAAGTTCATGTCATTAAATTCATAATAGTTCCTTCCATTACACACACATTACTTTTAGGCATGGATTTCATCCTAAAATTCAATTTCAACCTTGATTTTCATACTTTTTCATATCAATCTTGTGCTGTAAATTGTATTCAAGGTGTGGAGAAGCTATCTAATATGGAAAAGGAACAATTATTTGAAATTGTTGAACTTTTTAATAGCATTGCACCTACTGACAGTATTGGTTGTACACATTTATATACACATCACATTGACACAGGTGATGCAAAGCCCATCAGGCAAAGACAATATCCGCTTTCTCATGTAATGGAAAAAGCTCTTATTAAGCAAGTTGATGAAATGTTGGACATGGGTATTATAGAACCTTGCAGCAGTGCCTGGTGTTCAGCGCTCTGGCTGGTTTCCAAGAAAGACGGTTCATATAGAGTTTGTTTTGATGGTAGAAAGCTAAATTCAGTAACAATTCCTGACGCGTATCCTCCTCCTTTAATAGACTCTGTAATTTCTAAAATCAGAGATGCCAGATATCTATCATCCATTGATTTAAAATCAGCATTTTTCCAGATTCCACTTGATGAAGAATCTAAATTAAAAACAGCTTTCATAGTTCGTGGTAAAGGAATGTATTGCTTTCAAAGACTTCCTTTTGGCCTTTCTAATAGTTCAAGTGCAATGTGTCGATTATTAGACATGGTTATCGGTCCTGATCTGGAACCATATGTTTTTTATTATCTGGATGATATAATTGTGGCAACTCCTGATTTTGAAACTCACCTAAGGATACTGAAAGAAGTTTATAATCGATTGAAAGATGCTAACTTGACTGTAAATTTTGATAAATGTCATTTTGCTCGCTCATCTTTGACTTTCTTAGGCTATGTTGTTGATGAGAAAGGACTTAGAACAAACCCCGAAAAAGTATCTGCACTCTTATCATATCCTCAACCAACTAATACTACTCAGATTCGAAGGTTGATTGGAATGTTTGGATATTATCGTCGTTTCCTTAACAATTTTAGTGGTGTATGTTCTCCAATTTCAGACTTGCTTAAAAATCGGAAGAAGGGTGAACCTATCACTTGGACTCCTGATGCTGACAATGCTTTTAAGGAAATTAAGAATTTGCTAACCAGCGCTCCAATTCTTGCTAGTCCAGACTTCTCCAAGCCCTT